GTTCTTTAAATTGATTCTTAAGAAGCCTCCACCTTCCATGTATTCTGTCATTGGTTCCAACATGAACCAAGACAGCTGGGTCATGCCCAGCCCCTCCCAGTAATTTATCAACCCGGTCCACCACATGACGAACCCTGACACCAGGGAAACAGCAAACCATTCGGTTGATGTGATCCTGGTGACAAATTATTCTATCAGTCCTTCTGATTATAGAATCCCCTACTACCACCAGCTGTCTAGGCCTTCCTGCACTACCCTCACCTGCCCTCCCAGCTGTTAGGGATAGCAGCAGGGGCGGACTGACCATTTGGAAACTTGGGCACTGCCCGAGGGCCCGGGGTCAGTAGGGGGCCCCATGAGATGCCCCTGGTACCTTTTTCATAGGCTTTTTTGAGTTTGGGCAAGGACACAGGGGCCCCATGATCCCCTATTGCCTATGGGGCCCCATGAGTTGTCAGTCCACCCCTGGATAGCAGTGACATCCAGGGCTGCCACTGCTGAGCTTGCCCCTGAGGTATTTAATAAATTTACCTTCTCTTTGTCCCCAGTCACCCACTCTAGATTATTTTGTAAAGGGCCTACTTGCTCAGACCTGACCTTTTTACTATTAACATAGTATGTTTGGGAGGTTCTACTTTCTTTTGCAATCTGTCATTCATTTTGAAATCCTTGATTTCCTTTTTACGTATTCTGTTATATTTGTAACATTTAAATGATCATAGTGTTCTTTCAATTTTTATATTTTTTAAAAGCTCTTTTCTTATTATTTATAGTTTTTTAACTTTGGCCATGAGCCGCATAGATTTTATTTTTAGCCTTTTATATTTATTGGCCATGGGAATATATTTTGCAGTGTGTTTGTGATTCAGCAATGGCAGAGTTCCCCTTTAATATGGACCAATGTGGTAGCACCCAGCTAGTGCTGAGTTCCCCTTAAATATGTAAGGTTTTAGCTTACAGAGTTGAACTAAGCTCTGACTCCTACCCCCACATTTCCAGGTTGTTCTAATTTAGCAATTGACAGTCTGAACAGAAACCACAAGCTACATCCTGTCAGTATAATACTTCTACTGCTTTTCAAATATACATACATGTTGAGAGGAAATATATATTGTGATGTAATAATTTGGTATATACCAGGGGTGGACTGACAACTCATGGGGCCCCTGGGCAATAGGGGATCATGGGGCCCCTGTGTCCTCACCCACACTTAAAACCACACCGAAAAAAAGCCTATGAAAGGTACTAAGGGCATCTCATGGGGCCCTGGGCAATAGGGGATCATGGGGCCCTCGTGTCCTCACCCACACTTAAAACCACACCCAAAAAAAGCCTATGAAAGGTACTAGGGGCATCTCATGGATTTCCCTGATGAAGCCACGTGACCCTGTGGTGTAACACGTAGGGGAGGGGCTCCGACGTCACGACGCTGATGCGGATAGCGGCAAGTACAAACTGAGGACCTGGGCACATTACATTTGTTTGAAATAGCACTATAATGTGTGAGTGTGCAATTTTTCTTTAATAAAAAGCACCTGATTTTAAAGGATAAGGCACTATTGTTACTTCCTTTTTATGATATCCACAATATCGGGAGGTGGAAGCAGTATACAGATTTACCTCATCCATCCACCAAGGCTCAGTGTAGATAGAAAGGACTGAGGGAGACCCCTGGTGGGAGAAAGTTGGTAGCACAAGCCTATCCATTTGAATTTGGAAACAAGCATTCAGCATGGAAAACACCACTCAGTCCTGATGGGAGAAAAGCGTTATTAGCCACTTAGTTTGGCTAATTGGTAAGGTGAGCGTACACCTATTCTTTAGCACCGGGAGTGTTGCACAGCACTTTTTATAGACACTAGCAAGATTTGAAGCACAGAGTGGATTAATTTCATGATTGTATATTTTTATATATTTATATGCTTTTTTGCACAAGATATTGCACTGTTTGTAGCACACAGTTTTGTCATGTTTATATTATTGTGTATCACATGTTTACTATTGATTTAATATATATTGTGAAGCGCAACACATTTAGATATTATTTTAATGAGCCATTTGTTGAGTCAAAGCGGTGCTGTTTTCAATAAACTTGTTTTCCTCAAGAAATTCCTGAATTTACCTGAATTTCCAAAAATTGCTACATTTTTGGTGCATTGGCCAGAAAATCAGGTGTAACTACTGAGATAGGCAGTTTTCCCACCCTGACCCGCTGGGACCGGTCCGGAGCTGGCTCCTGGGATCGCCGCGCTGTCTCAGGACATTTTTCTGGGAGACTACGCTACATCTTGGTCGCCTGCTCCAAGGGTCGACCCGCTGGAATCCAAAGAGCCCAGACTGGGGAACCAACTTATAAAATTTTGAAGTTTCACACATCGGGAACAGGTGAGATCTTTGCCTTTTGGGTTATAACAGTCAGTCAGGACCTCTCGACGGTATTCGAGGGAAGGGGATCTTGATCACTTCCCGAGGTGCCCTTGAATGGGATGATTATGCATCCTTGGGGCCATACCTCCAGGTAGTCAGTAATTTTGGGTTGGAAAGTCTGGTGTGTATGTAAGTGAATGAGATGCTGCCTAGCTGGGAAGCCAGAGTTGACCCTGTGTAGGTGCAGTTCTTGGTACTGGGGCTGATATCGTTCTGTACCGAGTCACCGATAACGGGAAGCGTTTGTCTTTTAACCCTGTTGTGTCGAGGGTCCTGGACCCCTTACCAGGTTCTCACAATCCCCTATCCCCCTGTGTCTGTCTTTGTGTCTCTAAGGAAACAATATGGGTGGTAATCAGTCAGTCCAGACCCCCTTGGAGTGCCTTAGAGTGCATGATCAGTACATTCAGGAGTGGGTTTTGCAAAACCTGCAAACTGAAACTCAGTTCTAAAAGGTTAGAAACACCTTGCGAGAAAGGCTTTCCCGGTTATGGAAAAAGTTGGCCACCCCAGGGCACGTTTGATTTAGAGACCATTGACCGATTGCAAGAAATATTAGGTGTATAGAACATCAAGGAGATGTATATAGAACAGTATATATAATACACACATGTATTGTGTACACGAATCTTTCAGGACACATTACCTGTACATTACATTGATGGATGTATAGAAATATGACATCGATATTAGAAGTAAAGTAGATAACATATGAATTGTACATGAGATGTATAGAGGATAGAAGTACAGCTGATATACACTATGAAATGTATAGATGACACGATATGAAATGTATAGATGATAAAGGTAACACTACAGTCTAAAAAGTAACAAGTGTATCTTTTGCCAACCTGAGGAGACAGATCTGCCTCCTCTGTATGTACAGAGACATACCATGAGCAAATATAGGTGAGGGACAGACTCTGACATCTCTCTACATAGACAGTGGGAATTTAGCTCAGACCTACTTCCCAAAGCAGATACAAGCAGCCCATCAATGCCAAACTTTACTAAACATATTCATGCTAACACCCCTAGTCGTGACATTTTCAATAATACCTGTAGGATGGGAATTGGGGGGGGGGCACAGCAACAACTAATGGGCGCACAGATCAGGTGTTCACTTCCACCCTGAAGGACTCCATTGCCAAAAATCGGACTCTTGCCCCATCCTTCAATCCCTTCACCACAACTGATTTACTGAACTGGAAGACCCATAACCCCTCTTATAGTGAGGAACTACAGGCTGTCACAGACCTACTCCGCTCTGACAGAGAGACCTAGAAGAACCAGTGAACATTCAGACAAAGGGGGGCTAAGAAGGGAAAGAGGAAATCATATACCAAGGCTGAGAAAAGATCAGTGTGCATATTGCAAACTATAGTGGAAGCTACAGGATATAAAATTAAAAGACCTTTTCTAACAAAAAGACTTTGTAACCTGGGTGGACATGAAGTCCAACATCAGTTTTTTTATATGCCAGATTGTCTAATTCCCTTGTTGGGCAGAGACTTACTTGCTAAACTCAGAGGACACATATACTTTAAATCTGACGACCAGGCTGTCCTTCAACTCCCCCATCCCTCTGAGACCCCCATTATGGTCCTCAACATGCCAAAACAGAAGGAATGGAGAATATTTACTCTGGGGGGGGGAATGACAGAAGACCCACTCCCCTTCCCAGCAGGACTATAACATATCCCGTGAGTCTGGGCAGAGGATAACCCACCAGGACTAGCTAAACACATTCTACCAGTCCTTATTGCACTAAAGCCAGGACCCACCCCGGTTAGCCTGAGTCAGTACCCAGTACCTCGCAAAGCTCTAGCAGGGATTCAGAAGTATCTGGACATATTCCTACAGTATGGGATCTTGAGAGTGTCTCCAAGCTACAAATGAACTGTTGCAGCTACTGTGGAAAGCAGGCTATAATGTATCCAAGAAAAAAGGCTTAGTTATGCCAAGAGACTGTAAAATACCTGGGATTCAGAGTATCAAAAGGCCAGAGACAGTTGGGAGAGGACAGAGAAGAGGCTGTTTGCCAAATCCCTACACCAAGAACCAGGCGGCAAGTGCATGAATTCTTGAGAGCAGCTGGATTTTGCCTGATCTGGATATCAGTCTTTGCCACAGACGCCAAGCCACTCTATGAATCTACAAAGGGGGGAGAGAAAGAACCGTTCCTATGGGAGGAACAACAAGTCCAAGCATTTCAGGACATTAAGACTTCCTTAATGCAAGCCCCTGCCCTCGTCTTACCGGTCTGTAAAAAGCCCTACTATCTGTATGTCAGTGAGAAACAGAGGATAGCAGTGGGAATACTGACACAATACCTGGGGTCATGGCAACGCTCGGTGGTGTACCTTTACAAACAACTGGACCAGTGGCGGACTGACAACTCATGGGGCCCCCGGGCAATAGGGGATCACGGGGCCCCTCTGTCCTTGCCCACACTCAAATCACACCCAAAAAAAGCCTATGAAAAGGTACCAGGGGCATCTCATGGGGCCCCCTACTGACCCCAGGCCCTCGGGCAGTGCCAGAGTTCCCAAATGGTCATTCCGCCCCTGAACTGGACACAGTAGCTCAAGGTTTGCCACCTTGGCTGCTGGCTATCGCAGCAACAGCCCTCTTGGAGGCCGAAGCTGACAAGTTTCACTGGGTCAAGAGATCTATGTCCGAGTTCCACACCACATTCAGGCATTGATGGATTATAAGGGAAATCACTGGTTCACCAACAGCCAGATGGTCAAATACCAGGCGATGCTGTGTGAGAATCCTCAAATCCATTTGGAGACTGTTAACACCCTGAACCCCGCTCCCCTGCTCCCTACCTCAAAAAAACCTCTAATACATGACTGCCTCCATGGATAGATGAGGTATACACAAGTTGACCAGACTTGAGAGACAGACCCTTGGGAAAACCAGACGTTGAATATTACACTGATGGCAACAGTTTTGTAAAAGATGGGGTCTGCTACACCGCCTATGCAGTAGTTACACAGGAGACAGTGATAGAGGCAGCAGCCCTACCACAGGGAACTTCTGCAAAAAAAAGTGGAACTGATTGCACTGACCCAAGCATTAAAACTAGCTGAAGACCTAAGACTGAATGTTTATGTGGACTCTAAGTATGCTTTCCTGACTCTTCATGCTCATGGATACACTGTAGGGGTCATCAAAAGGGAGACTCCCAGGTGGCCAAAGGCAACAGAAAAGCAGATCAAACAGCTAGAGAGACAGCACTCCAGCGGTCCCCACAACAGATTATGGCCCCTCTGTTCCCAGTACCGCTCTCTGAATGGGACCCAATCTTTACAAAGGCAGAACAAGAATGGATAGAGACTGAACCTGGAAAGTATAGGGGAGGCTGGTGGTATCAACTGCAGGATGGAAGAATTGTCATTCCAGCTGTTGTAGCAACTGAATTAGTGACAGAATTCCATAAGGGAACACAAATTTGTCCCCTTTTGAAGTACTATATGGTAGGCCCCCACCCATCATTAGAGGTATCAAGGGAGACTTACACCAGATAGGGGGGTGGTGAACTGTGAACTGTTACAGAAATTAGGGGAGAATTTGCAGGTTATAGGGAAGTGGGTTCAAGAGAAACTCCCCATAAGTCTGTCCAACCCCATTCATCCCTTTGCCCTGGGAGATGCAGTGTGGGTAAAGGAGTGCAGTGTGACCCCTTAAAACAATAAACTTGTTTTCCTCAAGAAGTCTTTGTCCAGAGTTTTACCTGAATTTCCTAAAAAATGCTACATCATTTTAATACAGTCTTTTTTGAAGAATTGACATTTCTGTCCTGTGTTCTTCAATGCCAATATTCTTTCCCAATCTAGGTCTTGAAGAGCAGCCCTCATCTTTAGAAAATTTGCTCTCCTAAAGTTCATTGTGTTATCTTTCCAGTATGTGTTTGTTGTTTACAGCTAACATTAAATGGAATCATGTTATGGTCACTTCTACCCAGATTTTTTTTATATGAACATTAGTAATAATCTCTGCATAGTTTGAGATTACCAGGTCCAGCAGAGCATCATTCCTAGTTGGGGCCTCCATGAACTATACCATAAAATTGTCATGTAATAGGTTTATAAATTTTTGTCCTTTAACTGTTCCAGCAGTGTCATTACTTAAGTAAATTTCCAGGTTTTTAAAAATCCCCCATTATTATCACTGTCCCAACCCTTACATCCCTTTTCATCTATGAAATAAGCTGAGTATTAAACCTTTTCTTTGCAGGGAGGCCTTTTTATTTTAAATAAAAACAGGTTTGCATTAAAGTGACATTAACCGCTTCCGCGCAGCCCTATAGCAGAAATACTGCTACAGGGCGGCACGGGTGCACAAAAATCACGTGTATATATACATGATTTTGTAGTTCCAGGTAGAGGGCGCGCATGCCCTACATGCGCTACCATTTGTGGCCTTGGCTGTCAATCACTGGGTCCCGGCCGGTGATTCCCTGCCAACACCTGGTGATCTCCGAGTATCACCGATGGGGGAGAGACCTGTGTATAAACAACACAGATCTCTCCCCTATCAACTCCTGCACCCTGCTTTGTATGGCTCTGCATAGCAGAGCCATACAAAGCAGTGTGCTTACAGTGAAAAGCAAACACACTGCACACAGTAAAACATCACACAGTTAACCTTTTGATCGCCCCAGATGTTAACTTCCTGCCCAGTGCCATTAGTACAGTGTCAGTGCTTTTTATTAGCACTGATCACTGTATTGGTGTCACTGGGGATGTCAGTGACACCAAGTCAGTTCCCCCCAGTGTCAGAATGCCCACCGCAGTCCCGCTTTAAGTCACTGATCACCGCCATTACTAGTAAAAAAAAAACATCCAGTAATGCCATTTGTAAACGCTATAACTTTCACGTAAACCAATTAAGTTACATGTATTGGGATTTTTTTTTAGTAAACACATGTAGCAGAATACATTTTGGCCTAAATTTATGATGAAATTTGATTTTTTAAGTTTTTTTACTGGACATGTTTAATAGCAAAAAGTCAAAAATATAGTTTTTTTTTCAAAATTGTCAGTCTTTTTTTTGTTTGTAGTGCAAAAAATAAAAAAATGCACAGGCAATCAAATACCACCAAAAGAAAGCTGTATTTGTGGGGAAAAAAGGATATAAGTCTCATTTGGGTGCAGTGTTGCATAACCACGCAATTGTCAGTTAAAATAACTCAGCGTCGTATCACAAAAATGGCCTGGTCAAGAGGGGGGGTAAATCTTCTGGAGGGCAAGTGGTTAAATGATATCCTTATTGTCCACAAATAATCCATACACATCCACTACTTGACCCTGTATTTCACACTGATGGGTCATATAAGAACTCATCACAAGTGAAATAACATGAGTTTCTATGGAGGCCATCCACATGGCAGTGCGATTCTGAGGCAATTTTAAAAAGGGTCCTGCGCATGTTTAGTGCAGTGCGATTTGTAGTTACATAGACTTGAATGTAAATTGCCTATCTGTCCTAAGACAACATGATTCCAGTATGTTTTCCAGTAAGCAAGTCTTTGCTTTATTCCTTATCTCCCATCCCTGGTCCTGTCAGGAGAGAGACCAACTGAGAGCTCTGCCAAATCACACCTGAATCACTGAATAACTACCCCTTAAAATTGCACTGAAATTGGCAGGAAAATCACACTGCATCTATGTTAACCTAGCCTTGCTGTGATCCCCCCCCCCCCCCCTCCTCCAGGGCTCCACCTGCACAGCCGCATAATTTATTCCTAGAAATCTGTGAATGAATATACAAGTCCAGTCTTCCACCATGGCAGCTGGACTGCAAACGTGCTGATCAGCGCACTCATAGTCCATTCACATGTCCTCCAGCTTTCAAGTAGAAAGCCTGTAGAGATGTATGGGCAAAAAGCTGGAGGACTTGTCAGCAGGTGCCTGTTATTGCACTTGTGACCCACTGATGGCAGGTGCAATGCTTTGCAAACTCCTGGGAGAAAATGTACATGCACATTTTTTTCCTGCAAAAATATGTGTATTAACCACTTCCCGTCCGTCCGTTGTATATAAACGGCCGGATGTTGGCAGTGCAGGGGCAGGTGGCTGTTCATAAACGGCCTCCCCGCCCCCTGCTTGTGCACGCTCCCTGTGAGCGTGCAGCACCGCAATCCGGTGCCCGCTGTGTCCTCCTGACACAGTGGAACACCGATCGTCGTACGAGACCTCTGTGCGAGGTCACGATCATGTGATGACTGACTGGCCAATCAGTGATCACATGCAGAGTACTAAGCAAGATGTCACTTTTGACATCATTGCTTACTACATGTGAAATCTGCGAATAATCACAGATGTCACATGGTACAAGGTTATTCACAACAGCCTTGTATGTGTATATATATATATATATATATATATATATATATATATATATATAATAATAAAAAAAAATGTTTAAAGTGCCCTCGTTACCACATGATTGCGTGCAAAGGCAAACGCACATGTCGGTTCCACGCACATATGTAAACAGTGATCGCACCACACATGTGTGGTATCACCATGAACATCAGAGCAAGAGCACTAATTCTAGAATTCTAAGAGTGGACCTTCTGTGTAACTCTAAACTGGTAACCTTTAAAGGCTTTTAAAGCATCAATTATGGATAATTAAATGTACATAGTTTGTCGCTGTTCCACGAGGGGGACATGTTTGGTATCTATTTACTCAGCGTAACATCAAATTTTATACTTTACTAAAATTGGGTATTATATTGTGTTTGTGTGCACTAAAATTCATTAAAGTGTACTTTTTCTAAAAAAATTTTGTTTAAAAAAACCGCCAAGCAAATACTGCATGACATACAATTTTACATATATGTGAGAAGTGTTAGAATAGGCCTGGTCTTAAAGAATATGTAAAGCCAACATGTCCTGCCATGTGTCTGCTGTACTATGTAATTGTATGAAAAAGTATCCTATTCTCTTTGTATCACTTTCTTTGTGTGTAATCCCTGGTGTTCTGCCAGTCCCTCTGCTTTCCTATTAAAAACTGACCACACCAGACAGGAGAACACACCGTGGTCAGTTCTCTAGCTGTGCTGGGAACTCACTGTGCTTTCCTCCAATTATCAGACTCATCCTGACATGCCCCCCCCCTCACAGCCATTCGCTGGGAAGCTCAGTGTGATGCTGTTTCTCCTCCCCCAGGTCTTATGCAGCTGAGAACAGAAGGAATGTGATCACTTATAAAACAGGGAAACAACTGATAATGTTTTCATATCCGTACACAAATGTTTTGCCTTTCAATTCTATTTTAATCTGAATGGATTGTTTTACAAGGTGAGGGTTTACATTCACTTTAAAGTGGTTAAGAATACATACTGAAAGTGTTACTAAACCCAGGACCCTGCATTTACTATATTTGGTTTGCCACACTACACAGAACATGAAAATGCAATTATTTTAGTAAATATAAATACCTTTTCTCATTAGCAGTAAATATCAGTCTTGTGACTTTATCTGTGTCCGGCTGAGCACTGGTTAATCTTGTAGGAGGAGTTTTAATTCTCCTCTGACTGTCCTCTGAGGCTGCATGACCCCCTTTCAAGACAGTGCAGGTTGGCCCTGTGCCGTCACATGCACCCTCCCAAAAAAATTTAAAACATTTCTAGCAATACACAACAAACAGAGCACGTGCAGACTTGCCATTGTGCTCTGTCCATAGGCAAATGGATTGGG